TTGTGGAGTGGGCCTCGATCACTCCCAACCTTTTTGTGAAAATATAGAAGTAAAACCCCATAATGCTACAGAGAATTTGTAAACATTGGGTTTACAAAGAAATCTTAGCTATTTTCAATGATACTTGCCAGCCAGGATATATTAAATATCGAGATCGCAGCATCTGAGGACTTGAAAAACTATTTTCTGAGAGAATCAGCTCAATGTCTTCATTCCTTGGAAAATATACAGAAAAAACCAGGTTAATTAGGACTACCAATCTTAATGTCAACATTTTGCTTCCTCTTTCCACCGTCTCCATACACACATATAAGCACATCTGCATACACATTTTTTCCCCCCGTTATTTCACCCCCTAATACTTTGGTATGCATCTCCTAAGAAGAAGGACATTCTCTTACAGAACCACAATATTATAATCACACCCAAGGAATTTAACACTGGGACCAGCAGCACTGGTATCACCTGGGAGCTCATTAGAACTGCAGAGACTCAGGGCCCATTCCTGACACAATGAATCAGAGCTCTCATTTTAATAAGATCTCCAAGAGATTCACATGTACATTAAAGTTGGGTAAGTACTGATCAGGATCCAACCAAGGATCACCCATTGAATTTATAATCTTTATTTTCCTTTAATCTGGAACAATTCCTCCAACTTCTTTTTGTTTCTCACAGCGTTGACATTTTTGAAGAGTATACGCCTGCTGTCTTGTGCCCCACAACTTGGATTTGTCCGGTTGTTTCCTCATGATTAGATTTAGTTAAATATTTTTTGGCAAGATAAATACCCTGGTGATGTGTCCTTCCCACAGCATCACATGACAAGAGGCACATGATGTCACTCTGTCCCAGCAGTGGTCTTGCTAGGTCAATGTCATATCTGCAAGACCTTTCCATTATGAGGGTACTTTTTTCTCTTTGTAAGTAGTAAGCAGTCTGTGGAGTGATATTCTGAGATGAGTGAATATCCCTTTCCTCAACAATCTGTCACCCACTGCTTTTAGCATCCATTGATGATGATTCTTGACTAAATTAAGCAATACACTAAAGGTTATAAAATGGTGCCTTTCCAGTTCTAGAAATCCTTATTTATTTGTTAGCACCTTGCCCCTCCCTTTTTTTTTTTTTAGTATCACCATGGATTCATTTTAGTCCATTATAATCATTGTTCTCTCTTATGCTCAAGTTGTCCCAAATCTGGCTAGTGAGAGCTTCTTAAAAGCTGGTTCCTGTATCCTTTTAACATACCTCTACTAATCTTTGTTTTTTTCGCATAAAATGTACCAGGCTCACCTTGAACTTTCCCTGCCTTAGACCTGCAATCATCCAATTCTCCAAGGAATCCTGATACCTTATAGTGGATTGGTACTTAGACACCAAGATCTAGAGGTAGGGGTGTTTATTGCTACTGTAGTATTAGTATTTCTGGTCCCTTTCAATGGAAAGCACTCAAAATAGATTTTTTAAAAAAAAATCTTCAAGGCTAGACATCTTTTTTTTAAATGAATTTACATTGAGTCCCGCAATTCAAATCCAACATTTATAGGGTTTTCCCTCACCTTTCCCATTTCATATTTATAATCTCCCTTCCCTAAAGAGTGATGTTGTTTGGAATCAGGATTCCAACAGAGGATTACATTAAAAAGTTACTTGAATTATTTCGTCTGTGTGTGGTTATTACTTCCATATACAGATGGATTAATTTTTTTGGATTGTACTTAGTTTTTCCCCTCCCTCCTTGTTAATTTTTGAATATGTAAAATATTTGCAGTGCTCAAAAGTTAAAACTACAAAAAATGTATAACCTTTTAGTATCCTTAGTGAGTCAACAAAATTGCTATACAACCAAGTGTATGCTCTTTATACACATGCACACATATGAAGTCACCAATTCTATTTTTAGTTTGCTTTTTGGACCCAAGTCCATAAAGTAAAAGGATAATTTTTCTATGTTCTCTATGCCACTTTTATTACATCCAAACACAAGAACATTGAGAAAGTCTTAACTTCCATCCGTTAATGAATGAACATGTAAATGCATCAGAACACAGTATCTTAAAACAGTACAGAATACCACCACATGGGATTCTCCTGGTGATTTTCACACAGCATTAAAAGCACTTCTATAAATGCTCAGGTCTTAGACACAGTGGAAAGACCCTGTGGGGCATAGCCAGAGGGTATCTGCTGTATCTGAGAAAGTGCCCGGTCCTGAGGGGTGAAGTGAACTTGATAAATTTACCTGGTGACGATCCCATTTTCTGCAAGAATGAAGGCAGCGGTAGGATTGGCAGCCCTGATGAGGCTCTGCAGTTGAACGAGGAGAGGATGTCTCTGCTCTGTGGTGTGACTGGTGAACACCACATTACTCACCAGGCCTGGGGAATAAAACCAAAAATGGTTCAGCCTTCTGAATCCTGACTGGGGCTGAGGGCTCACATAAAAGTGGGCCCTTGCTCCCTCCCCTTAATCATCCCATCCAGTGCCCCCTTGTGTAGACACCCCTGACCCTTGGCACCAACATACACAGCCATTATTCTGTTCTCTTTTCTGTCACCGCCACCTCTTAGAGTGAATGGCTTCAACCCTGTAGCTGCGTCACCTCCTAATCTCTTATCTTCTTAATTCTGCTTTCCAGCTGATACTCTGAGCTTATTCATCAAAGGGCCCTTTCTACATCCCCTGTACTTAACCTCATCAGGAACTGGTGCCGATGACCTTCACCAGTTCAGACCACAGACATTTATATTTACCAGGCACTAACCATATGTAAGGCGCTAACCAATAGATTCTCAGACTGTATAACCAAGAAAGAGTCACACACACAAATCCACAATTGCAAGATAAGTGCTAACATAGATATTCACATAGTGATACANAAGAACAAAACGACAGCAACTTGTCTGTTCCCCTTCCCCCAATTCCCCAGCACTGTTCCCACCCCCCCCCAATTCCCCAATAAAATTCTTTAAAAAAAAAAAAGTGCTGGCTGAGCCTATCAGAGGTGGGCTAGTGGCAGGGGTGGGGTGGGGGAGGCACCAGGGAGCCAGGGGAGGGGCTTCTGCCTCAGGCCAGCAGCAGCTCTGAGGTGTGCTAGTCACATCTTTGCTAGGTCTGTCTGGGCTTCAAAAACCACCTGCTTAGCTGACTGCCGCAGCCAGTCCTTGATGCTTTCTTCCTTCAGGGAGCAGCCGATGAACACGAGGTAGCACTCCTGCTGCCCGCTGCTGTCTTGAGGTGTACCTCGGGAGTTGGGTGGTGGTGTGGGTACCTCCAAAACCGGCATGATGCTCAAGGAATTGGCCAGAGTGTTGTGGCAGACCTCCATGATCCTCTCAGAGTCTGCAAGGAGGACGCATGTCAGTCCCTGAGACTGCCCTAGAAGAATAAGGCTACAGGAAGGCTGACACAGGGCCTACAGTCAGGAACAGATTCATGAGACGTGTGTAGGAGGGAGAGCTGACATGATTGGTGGCAAATCAGAAAGGATGAAGTAAGAGAGGGCTATAAGTTTCTAGGTAGGCTGATTCGGTGATCAGGTGGTCATCACTAACCCAGGAGGGGATTACACGAGGAAAGCCCCCTTCATACAGATGGAGGGGGAGGTCTCAGGAGGGCGAAGAGGCCAAGGGAGGAGGGTATGTCAACAGTACAAGTATTGCAAGAGGGTCACCTGGATGGGAACAGGAGACATGACCAGGTTTACAAGCTGAGAAGCTAAGCGCTATGATTGACTGGAGACATGAGAAAAGGGCAAGGCTCTCCTAAAAGGCAGGATGAGAAAAGGAGCCAGAACAAAGAGAGGTTAGCCTTGAACAAGGGGTCAAGGGTAGTAGGTCTAAACAAAGAAGGAAAGGAGCTGATGATGGGGGAGCGGGAAGACAAAGGCATTAAGACCTTCGAAGCAGGTGGGTGGCTGCTGTCTGTTGGGGCACAAGGGAAGTGGGCTTGAGTAAGGGGCTTGAGGAAAGACGCCAAAGTTTCAGATTTAGTAAAAAATATTAGGCCAAAGGTGTGGGTTAAGGACTTTGAGAGTTTTTTTTTTTTTAAATAACTTACAATCATCTAATTCTCCCATCTGAACCTAAATGGTTCCATGCTTAAAATTCTCACTGGCTCCCTACAGCAGACACTGATAGTTGTATGCCCAGCATCCCTCTCTTCCTCCAATACCAATTCCCCATAGGCCATTGGTCCCAGAAAGCATGGCAACCAATCCTGGCCAACGGGAGAAGTTTGCTGAAAAACGGGGAGGAGGTGCTTCAGAGAAGGTGTCTGCAATGATAGATACCCACAGGAAGAGCCAGTCTCTCCCACTGGCTGGATACTGTGCGTGGGTTTGTCATCTAGACTAGCAGCACTATCTGGCAACCATGATGGGTGGGTATCAGAGGACAAGCTGACAAACCAAGAGTGGGAGAACACAGCGACATACAGTATGTGGGTCCTCAGTGGCCCTGCTTTGCAGCACGATCTCTTGGCTTTTTGTTATGTAGCTAACACCTGCTAGCTGAGTTGGGGTTTTCTGTTGTAACAGCTGAAGACACCCTAAGAGATAGACTCTCTCCTTCCTCCTAGGCCCCAGTCATAGTAAACCCTTTTTGGTTCCTGAAATACGCCTTTTATGCCTCAGGTCCACAGCACGTGCTGTGCATTTTCCCTGGAATAGTTTCCCCTTTCTCAATGTTGAGTTGACCAATTCCTTGTTTTGAGGCCTTCCCTATCTAGACAGACTTCAGATCTTGAGGGCTCCAGAGGTCTAAGGCTGATAAACAGGCCTACTGGGTAGAATGGAGGAGAAGGCAGGTGGAAGGCTCGAAGACTTTGACAGAACCACATCAGGAGCTGGAGAGCTCAGTGTTGGGGTAGCTCCTGGTGATAAGTCTAGGAGGAGGCCATGGATCGCTCCAGTGGGGTTGGGTGCGAGTCTCTTGAAAAAGGAAGTCAAAGAGCTGTGAGAAGTTCTGGGCAGGCCATCTAGGGGAAGGAGGACAGGTCCTCCACTATGGAGCAAAAGGACCTGGAGAAAGGTGGGCTCTTGGTAGGCAGGGGTGACTGGAAGAGTCCAATGGTGTGAGATCCAGAGGAGAGGGTTTTTCAGAGAGAGGCATCAGTGGTCTACAGAGCACCAGTGGAGGCTATGACCTCCATAATGTAGAACTCCCAAATCCAACCCCTCAGTTACCTGAAAACTTCACTTTGCCGAGGATGTGGTAGATGTTTCCAGAGAAGGGACTTGGCTTGATGGAGGACTGAATTGCTGGTGGAGGAAGAGGATAGAGTTGTCATCCATCTGGGGGCAGAGGCCAAGTTCAGGGTGGCACAGCTGGAGGGTAAAGGACTGGGAAGGGACCCTACTCGAGGGACCAGGGTTCACAGGTTCTATCCCCACTAGTTCCTCCCACTGGCTCTGCCACTGTTTCCAGGGGTGGAGGACTCCTGGGTTCTCAAATCCCTCTGCCTGTTTTTGGACCCAAATGGTGAGGAAAAGAGACAGCACACAGAATAAAATAGTGCCAGGAAGCAAGGACGACTCTGTGAGCTCTTTTACCAGGGTCTGGGACGTGTCCCAGCCAAGGCTTACCTTTACACTTGGCCACAAAGCGAGTCTTCTCCAAGGGACGACCAAACCATACGCAGATCTGAACCATTAGTGGAAACACTGATCCAGCATCAAATTTACCTTCATACCTTAAAAGGTTTTAAAAATAGTTAAGTACAAATAATTGGGGCTTTGAATGTTATTATACACTATTTTAGGATGAACTACATATCATTTATCCTATAATATTTGAATTCTTTCTTACTTATATGCAATTTTGTGAACAAAACACTTGTTTAGATGTGTGTATGTCTCTTTCTTGAGACTGGGGCATGGCTGCCCCCTTAGAGCAGAGAGGTTTTACCTCATTCAGGCTAGCAGTTCCCTGAAGTCAAAGACCCCATCTACCTTTGAAGCTGGCCAATGTCCCACCTGAAATTGGGGGTCCATCTTGGTCCTCTTCGAGCTCCTTCTCAGGACCCCCTCCGGCCCTCTTAAAGGCTCCAACTATGCCCCACTATCACTGAGGGCAGCTTAACAGGCTGCACATTTGGACGTGTGCACTCTCTCTAGAAGGAACTAAAGGGCGGGGGCAGCTCTGCTCTACTTTCTCAGTTTTGAGTTCAGTAGATATAATGCTTGCCACAAACTCATTAAGAATATGGCCATATTCAGAGCATTTAAAAACTTCAGGGCCGGCCGAGTGGCGCGATGGTTAAGAACTCGCTTGGGATGCCAGAGGGCCCCGGTTCGGATCCCACATATGGGGGCCAGTGACA